GGACAACTTTTTCGAAAAAGTTGAAGACAGTCAAAGAGATCCATAGTTATGATGGACTCCGGATCAGAAACGGAAACCGACCATGGGATTCGGAATGTAGAGGCACAAAAGACCAGCACATGATAAGCATGATACCGAACCGTGCAACAAAGTTGGTGATCGCAAGGCTTGAACATTGGATTTTAAGGGCTGACCAGCGCCGGTCACAAGAGAAACCAACCAATACCACCATTCATGTGTCCTGTTTGGGACTATCGACAACTTTGAGAAAAGATGTTCATAGTCATCCAATCCATGAAGTAAAATTGATACAGTGAATGGCAAAATACTTACCGTGATCTTCATAGGATGAAAAGAAACGAGTTACAAACTGATCCAACTCATGGACCAAGCCTGCTTCAATCATGCTATCGACACGTTGATCCAAACGCGTATTGAGCACCTCGCCGTCACAATCCGTCCAAAAAATCAACGTCTGTCCCGGATATCGAGGTTGATAGGAACGATTAGGGGGACCGTCGTCTGGTCGAGCACGGATCGGTTCTGTCGTAGTGACTTGCTCACTGGAATTCTGTCGCATCAACGCCTCGGCAAGAGCTCGTCGTACTTTGCGCACATTGTTCGGATGAAGCTTAGCCGCCATGGACGGGTTAATTTGTTTCAGTTGAGCATAGCACTCATTCGAATCTATTGGCAAAGTTGAACTGAATGGAAAAAGATTGAACTCAGCGAGTGAGCATAGAACGAAGAATAACCATACCCAGTTGACACAGCTGAGAGCGGTTGGGATTACGAGGTGGACCATATTTCAAAGTAGACGAGCAGTATACTTCTTTTTTAATTCATCATTGTTTAATGCTTGCTTGGGCCCAATTTCGTTCAATACACTGATGACACAACGAGCGCTTCAGTGAACGAAAGGCCTTCGTTATTGGTTTTTGAACTGAACGACGATAGGACAGGAAGGGAGTTGAATAGAAATACAACAACATCAATAGGAATATTCCTTTTTTCTTTTTATCCCTATGAGGAGCTAATCCGATAGTTCAACTTTTAATTGTGGTTGAGTCGAAGGAAGGTTTTAATCGCAGATTCACATCGTATCCTTCCCGTCCAACCACCGCTCACAGTCAACTTTCGATCTCATTTGCACATTCAGAGTCATATTAAGTATATATATATATATATATATATATATATATATATACGCTTAGAACATGGTCACCAGATCATTCTTTACAGTACCATCTCGTTATTATTTAACAAGATATCGTGTTGTTATTCACCTTCCCTGCTGCTCCCCAGTTTTATTTGCCGGTCATACAATTAAGGGCGATGCAATTCTGCGTCGGTTTGTTTAAGTAATTTCGCCTACAAGCGGTATTCCACATTTACACTTGCTCTACTTTATCACTTCTCACCTCTTGCGAAAAATTTTCAAAAAATATCTACCTCTGTAACCATGTGTCATTATGAAATTGTGTATACTGGAACCACTCAATCATTATCACCATCGTCATCATCATCATCAGCATGGGGCAGTGGGATACAGAGAAGTCAAAGTCAAAGTTTTATTATGGGCGATTTAACAAAGCTAAAACTTATCATGCCCCATAGGATTTTTACAGAATCTTTTGAGTAACTTCACAAAGACAAAATAACAATGATAATAATGCGCATGGTCACTCTCGGATATTGATATTCAAAGTGTTCCAGTCCTTTATCAAGTTGCGATTTAAATAGTTCAAATGTAGGAGCACACACTACATCAGATGGAGGAGAATTCCATACACCGCACACTCCGTCTGTAAATGAGTGATGCCGGCAATCAAGGTGGCTGTTCTGGGTCTTCACCTTTANTACAGAGAAGTCAAAGTCAAAGTTTTATTATGGGCGATTTAACAAAGCTAAAACTTATCATGCCCCATAGGATTTTTACAGACTACTTTGAATAACTCCACAAAGAGAAAATACTAATGGTAACAATGTGCATGATCATTCACGGATGTTGAAATTTTATGTGTTCCAGTGCTTTATCAAGTTGCGATTTAAATAGTTCAACTGTAGGAGCACACACTACATCAGATGGAGGAGAATTCCATACGCCGCACACTCTGACTGCAAACGAGTGATACCGGCAATCAAGGTGGCTATTCTGGGTCTTCACCTTTGGTGGATGTCGCCTGAGGTGATCATTATGAGATAAAGTCAGCATAGAACGGCAAGGGTGGTTGGGTTGAGCAGTATGTGATATGCCAAGATTAGGTCCCCTCGAAGTCTGCGGTATTGAGATGAGTAGAGTCCTAATATTTACAGTCTTCCGGAGTATGTCTCGTTCTACAGACCTTTTACCAATTTCGTTACCAGCCTTTGCGAACGTTCTAGAGCCTTCTTGTTGCGGTTCAACCATGGATTCCATACTTGAACGGCGCACCCCGTGTGTGGCCGAACGAACGCTGGTAGCAAGCGTGGGAACAATGCTCTTTCGAACCGCCCGAAAACACGTCTGAGTAGTTAAACTTGTTATAGAGCCCTGGATGATGCTTTGGCACAGTGCGTGGAACATCCTACGTCCTCCTGTACCATAACTCCCAAATACCTATCATCAGTGGCACGCGGTAGTATTTGATTCCCCAGAACATAGGAGAAACGATTCTTATGCCGCATGGAAATAACTCTGCACTTGGACACGTTGAACTCGATGTCATTGGCGATTGATCATCGGTGGGCTGCATCGGTCGTTTGTTGAAGTGCTATATAATCCTCAGGATGTGTTACGGTTTTCCAGAGCTTAGCGCCATCCGCAAATAGCAGTGTATTAGACCCAAAGACATGTGGCGGGTCATTTATAAATGCAAGAAAGAGATGAGGCCCCAGTACGGATCCTTGAGGAACCCCCCAGGTCGCGGTGATAGGCTCCGATAATGAATCACCAACACGAACTGATATGGTCCTTTGTCGGAAAAACTCCTTGATTCAGTCCAGAACCAAACATCTTACTCCGTAGTTGTAGAGTTTTCGCAGTAGAATTTGGTGGTTTACTCGATCAAATGCCTTGGAGAAGTTCAAATAAACTACATCCAATGGCTGGCCTGCATCGACGGATTTTGTCCACTCATCCCGTGCAAGGAGTAGGTTTGTGGTGCACGAACGCTTGTGCCGAAATGCGTGCTGGGTTGGAGTCAAAAGGTCATGCTTCTCCAGATATTCCATCAACAGATCTGCCAAAATGACCTCCATGACTTTCGACAATATCGGAAGAAGTGTAACAGGGTTGTAGTTGCCTGGACCACTGCGAGATCCCCCTATGTAAATGGGAGAAATCACCTCTTCCTTCCATGACTGCGGAATAACTGCCTGGTAGAACATCCTTTGGTAAAGAACAGCCAGAGGTTCGGAAATGTTTTTGGTTAGCGACACCAGAGTCCGGGGATACATGTTATCTGCTCCTGGGGATGAATTCTTACGCAGTTAGTAGTTTTGCTCTAACCTTCTCACTGTCAAAAGCCATGTTATCCAGTGACGGATACGGTATACAGGGTAGTTTGCTTGGAATCTGCAATGCTTCGTGTATCGTTTTGAGGAACTCTGCTGCTTCTAGAGTAGTGGTTAAAACATTTCCCGACGATCTCAATGCTGGTATTCCGCATTTCACCTGCCTTTTAGAATTGGTATGTTTATAAAGCAATTTTGGATCAGAAATGAATTTTTGAGCCAGGGTTTCTTGGTACATCAATTTGTCCTCTCGTACAAAATTGGTACACTGATTTCGCAGTATGGAATAATTATTCCAAGTTTCGATAGATGGACATCTTCTGTACTCCCGCCAAGAAAGGTTTCTTTGTTCGGCTACGAATGAATGAATGACGAGTTCTAGATTTAGCACAAGTTTTTATACTTGTTGCAGCCGTTAATCAGTGAAGTTCTTCCATGCCACCAAAGGATCGAGATCGTCTTCTGGGAGGACCCATTGCCTAAGTATTGCCAAGTATTGCAGCTTTTTGTAGTCTATGATGGCACGAGTACTGCTCTTTCGGTTTTCTTGGTTAGAGGCGTAGCCTATATGATCAAACTTCAATACGGCATGATCACTACATACTAGTGAAGACGTGACATTGACAGATTCCACCGTCAGCTCCTCGTTAGTCAGCACTAAATCCAGTGTTGATGATACGTGACCTGCTACAAATCTGGTGGGTTCTATAACGTGGTTGTACAATAGGTGCAATCCAAGGAACTGGGATAATTATCTCGAATGGCTGGCGAGATGTCCTCGTTCCGAAGAGATTGGGACAGCTAAAGTCACCCATTATGAGGACATGGGTGAACTTTAGTGATAATGCATTCCTCATGGTTTGCAACAAAATCTCGTTGGCTGAGTCGAAAGATGCGGGAGGTCGGTACACAACATCAATTGTTTCGATAATAAAGCAGCACTCCGTCGCTTGGTGTAGGACGATCACGTCTGAACAGTGACACTCCTGATAGACCCAATTCCGAGTCGAGAATGCCGGTATTCAGCCAGGTTTCAGTAACGGCAACAATGGCAAATGGATTAGTTTTCCAACGAAGTTTCATCTCGGAAAATTTGCTAAGGTAACCTCATGCAATGGTATAAAAACATGAAAGATATCTTCGGCAAAGAAATCTATCTGGGTATGTGGTGTTGTTTCTGCAGACCAACTTGGGGTCGACTAACATTGTTTTTTTTGTAGAATTGGCTCCTTCGCTGCTACTTAGTGACCGTAGGGTGATAAAAACCGCAGTAGAGGAAGGTGGCGTGTTAGTATCGGTTTTCGTTTTCGGACTTTCTTGGGATCCAGTATTATGTAATAGTCTTAGATGTAATTCGGCGGACNAATACGAAGTTGGCCATTTCTGGTGTTCCGAGGGTCACTTTCATTATCATCGAGCCGTTCCCGTGGTAGTTCGGTGAGCTGGGTAGACGACTAATTGCCGTAGTAAGAAACTGGGCATAATTAATTAGTTCTCGAATGAAACTCCATTCCTTGTAATCGTTTTATTGGCGGAGGTATTCGTCTGGATCGTCCAGTTGAGGAACTCCATGAATTAGACCAACCCGTTTGTTCTCCGATTGCCGTGCGTTTGTTGGGTTAGTGCGGTATTGTGTACGCCCCATTCAGGGCCTGTCTAGAAGTATTCTTGTTATACACGAATCTTTCTTGAGAAGTTACCTAGAAAGAAGAACTCTTTCCAGGTCCTTCTCGTCTGCAAATGTTACGCGCGTCAATCGTGGCTCCCCAGCATACGGCGACGATGGATGACAAAACAGCCGCGCGATGCCAACTGCGTGAACGTCGATACTCATTTGGTTACATAAAGCAGCCCAGCGATCAAGCTTCTCTACTTGTTTCTCCCTCAGTGTATTTGCTGTGGGCTCTGGCACGTTGGCGCAAATAACTGTCATTTCGGAGTTGTAAATTGCTTTCTTTATCTTCGGCACTGGATTGTATTCCTGAATAAACTGAGCTTTAGGCTCAATGATTTATGCCGACTCTTGATCTCTGGCATTATCCTGTACTTACTTTGCTTCGCCGTCAAGTTCGTGACTGGGTATTGACAACGCTGTGGTGGGGCTCTTTAGAAAACAACGAGGTCTTTTGTGGGTTTGTCAACTGGACGGGGAGGGTTGATCTGAGTGCTCAAAGCAGTTATCTTTTCTTCCAGTAAAGTGATTTTTTCTTTCGCTTTTTGCTCCGCTGCCGATAGTAGCTTCTCAAATTTTTCTGTCATATGTTTCATACACTTCACTATAGGATTTTCTGAGCAGTCGTTACAAAACCACAAACTGTATGGCTGGATCACAATCTGTTTTATTCGTTTGGTCGACAGTTTTGCACACGACGGATGAAAGTACTTTAGACAGCGATTGCAGGCAATGCCCGACTTGACGTCCTTTCAACACGTCAACAAACCACATACTCCTAATCCTTGTGTTGCACTTGGTGCGTCAGTCCCAGGCACACTGCGACGGACCATTTTGACCCACTCCACAGATTCGCTGATCGCTGCCAAGTTCACAATGTACACAAAGTAAGTGAGAAAGTACACGATGGACGGAGATTGGGCCTAATTTGAGGGCGGACAAGAAAGTGAGCCTCTATGGTAAACACAGAGTACACAGTCTAACTGCGCACACACCTCACGTATCCTGATCTATTAGGAAATGACAACGACGCCACTGTTGTCGGTTCGCTGTCATATCCTTTAATGTCTCCGACCAACCAGCTGCGGACTCTTTGAACCCCAACGTGGAAGATGGGAGACACCTACTCCACCTAATTTCTTTGCATTTCGACATGTTTCGTTTCGAAATCAACTGTTCACCTCCACGCGATTTCCTCCAACATGGAACCGTTCGGTAGAAGGCAGCAAGGCATGCGTAATACGTGTCTGAACCAGTGAGGTCTACTGATCTGAATTCTATGTGATAACGAATTTTCCACCGAATCATTATCATTGCCTTAGATGCCAACGTGACGTTTCGTTGAAACTGAAAGGTTGAGTACAGTAAACCAGTATGCGATCAGTTCTGTTTTACGGTTGCGAGACCCTAAATTTGCGCGTGGAAGATATTCATTGTCTGGATGTCTTCAATGGCCTAAATTAGAGTATCTTACAGGCTCGCTTCATCCAGCCAGTGCCAAACCACGTAAACATCAACGTGGACGCGGTAAACCATATAAAGCCTGGCAAAGTTAGGCCTAAAACTACCTACCACCAAATCGGGTGCCGGTGGGCGGGCTCAAAGCTTGCTCTGAAGGGTACATGATATGTGTAAGAAGTGAATTTCGTTGAGAGAGGAAAAGAAAGAGAACGTTGTGAATGACACAAATCTCGAGTTCTAGAGATAATACTGAAAGAAAACACTCATTAGCTAGGGCGAAACGATTCAGAGCATTTGAAATCTATCCAAAGCAAAGTACGACCGTTCAATTCGGGGCGAACTGACAGTATCAACCCAAGGACAGATAAGACCAGCATCATTGCACCGCAAACTAGTGTTACTTTCCCAGCTATTATTCACCATCGAGACAACTCGTGTTCGGATATTCAAAAGCATTTATGTGTAATGACGAACGACTATGACGTGAAAATGTGTTAGAAGGTGAAACTCACAAGTTGCAAAGTACCTTGTTTGCAATTCAATATTGTTTGAAACTGTTTGATTGAGTCCTGCTGAAAAGTCCGACCATAACACAGATTCCAAGTAGTAATGGGTCCCACCAGCGAGAATCGGTATGTGTTTATTCTCTCGGATCGTATCGATTAGAGGTAGACAACGATCACGATAGTCACGAACATCAATACGGCCAGCCCAAGATGCAGGAAAGGTGCCTAGTAAATGGTGTGGTATTCCATTAGCCTCATCCGACGTAACCTGTGAGAGGTATTACGCAATGGTTAGGGACAAAATGTTGATTTTTGGAAAAATTAAATAACGAAGGAAAAGATTTCTTTCAGTCGTATCATAAAAATGACAGATAACATAACAAACATAAGGTATCAAACTGCAGTGCGGAACCAAATCCAAAACTCAGGATTGCACAACAGGATTTATCTATCCATCAATTGATGCCACCACGCCGTTTGTTCTGGATGATACCGTTCAAGTAGAGGCTGTCTCGAAAGAAGAAACTTTTGAGCTTCTGCGTACCGTGAAAACCACGTGAAGTGTTGATCCCGATGGTCTTTCATCTTCCCTTGAGATAGGGGGCCCATTCTCTCAGTGAAATATTCACATGATTTTTTAACAATTNTTCCCATTACCAAATCCTCTACTTCAAACGTTCTAACCAAATGCTTTCATCCTATCGCTTTAACTTCTGTTGGACTTAGCGGCGGTGGCCAAGTGGTTAGGTCACCAAACTGTGACCCGGAAATCTGGGGTTCGAACCGCTAGACCGCCACCCGTCTTGTCCATTTCTGTATTTCCCCAGACAGCCGCCGCAGCCTTTCTGAAAGTTGACTATACAATTGTATATTGTGTTGTATTGTATTGTATATTGTATTGTATCGTATAAATAAAAAAGGACGTAAAAATACGTTCATCAACTAGCAGAACGTGTTGTTCTTACGCGCATTTAGTCCCCAATTGATGTCCCGTGTGATCTTCTTCAGCTTGCCTATAAACCAAACAGATGCACGCTGGATGCAGTTTCCTCACTTTTACATGAAATTACCAAATACTTGAATGAATCCGCGAAATCAGTTCGTTGTTTCTGGACTATTCATCTGCTTTTGATTCTATTCCTCGTTCCCTTCTTCTTCGCAAACTAGAGAACTTTGGTTGTCCTAGACAGTTATTACCTTAGCTTGCCGATTACTTGTACGGGAGAACTCAATGTACCAGGTTAGGTCGGAAGAAATCCAAACAACTGTTGAACAATTATTCTTCAAATACGCTGACCATGTGATTTTGTGTCAGGCCATCTCCGACTCTTCTGGTCTTTAATAATTCTCTGACAACTTGGATAACGTTCAACAGTTTTCCGCCACATTTGGCCTATCTCTCAATCAACTCTCTTGACATTATCACGCTCTTCATTGCCATCTGAACCGGTATCGACTGGCTCTGAACCAGTACTCCGGGTAAACCGTATTAAGTACCTGGGTTTTTTTTATTGATACCAATCTTCACTGGACTTCTCACATTCAACACATCGTTCGTAAGCTTCGACGACTTTCTTTTCATGTCCGTAGACTTCCTAAGTTTCGTATGCAACAAGCAATTATTTCTAAATTCGTGTACCAGTGTGTTTTCCTCGCTTTACTCTATTGTTCACCTGTTATGTTTTCCAATCTCCTAAAGAAAGATTTTAAACTACTTCGACGTGGACTGACCATCATTAGCCGTGTCTCTTAAATCCCACTGAAGGTATTAGTAACTAACCTGTGCAAACGTCATTTGAATGTGTGTGAAAAGTTTGCTCATTCGTATCGAATCGACACATCCGCTACACGCAGATTCAACTTCCTGTTGTTCTCATCCTTCAACTAGATTCCCAATATCGTTGTGTTCCCTCTCGAATAAACATATATCGTAACTCTACAGTACCCCCATTAGTACGTATTCTAGTTAACAAAGGACAGGGTTTCACAGACTTTTTTTACCAGTTTTGGGATTTAAATTTCTTTCTTTCAATATTTTTTTAATTTTTTTTCCCTCACTCCAACCTGTATACTTTTAACCGAAATGTATACTTAATGCCTACAGAAGTTATTACAGTACAATACAAAAAGAAATACAAATACAGTGCGTCATGTCTAAACGTATAGTTGAATAGTTGGTACGTTCGATGTCTGTTCCCGCTAGTGCCAATGAGAATACTGACTGTTTTTAGAACACACAATATTATGGGGAGGACGGATCTCTTTGTAAAAACGAAATCGGTTATCTCTAATTTACAAGCTTAAAGAAACACGGTGCGTTGTTCATCGTGTGTCAAGTTCTGGGTTACGATGCGTGCCAAACTTATAAGGACAGTCACTTTTCGATCCAGGAAAACAACGCGACAATCATTCTTCATACCGTCATCACCAAAGACAGTGAATTAGAAAATGCTAAGGCATTTTACAACTGGTTTAGTGTAAAAATATTACTCACAACTATATACAAGTAAAATGTAATAAAAATATAGAGATAGTACACCGTTAATAAAAATTCTTCTACTTCACTGCAAGTATAATTTGTTCACTTGCACCACGACTTCAGTAAATGAGGGTTTTACAAACTGCGGTGCTAATATTTCTCCACTTTGCGTTCATATCGACCTCTAATTCAACAAAACTATAGACTTCCGAATTCCGACCTATTTATCTGATCCGAACATTAGGGGTATTCAATAAGGTTGAAATTAGGACACTAAATGGATAGTGAAAAACGAATACGCCTTTGTGATCGATAATGCACACAAACAACGAGAGCTTTGTCTGAGTTTGCGGCTTATATTAGCCGGAATTCACCATGGAAAGAGATGTTGGTAAAGGTCACCGTCTTATTCTTATCTTTTCAACTCATAGTATATACGCCTTTGGAAGTGAATCTTCAATTATTCAGTGTGATTCGCAACTTCGATCGCATACAGATTGCAATAATTCGGACGAAACAGAGCCCACAAACATCCTCTTCTCAACCATACAAAGATCAGATTTACACAGAAACGCATCCAGCTACATAACATGAAAAATCTAAACACCCGAAACACTTCTAACGCTCAGAAAAGCATCAATTAAGAAAATTCGCGGGATTGACAACTTTATTTTGTTATACTCTATAGAATTTCCTGATATCTTCCATAATCAGCCGTTCAGTTACATGTTGAATAATGCTTACATCCTATATCTTTTTCCTCCCATTATGGTTCTTCATTTTATAGAGAACTTTCGATACTTCAGCGGTTACAGACAGGGGTGAATTGTTGATCGCCCCGATCTAAAAGAAGAGATCACGCAACAACTGCGCAAACCACTGTGGGATAAGTTTAGTTCTGTTCAACACAAGGGTCTACTTCTGTGATACTTCGCCGCCTGACACCCATAAGGAAGATGAATATTCGCGAACAGTAAGCAGGATTCCGACCAGGCCGCGACTGTATCGACCGAATCTTCACCATGTGTCAAGTGCTCAAATTACACCAAACATATCGTCGACCAACAATTACAGTGTTCCTTGACCTCAAAGGAGCTTTCGATTGAATTGACCGCGAAGCCTAAATCAGTCTGCTGCTTGACAAAGGAAAGCTGCTGAACTGCGTAAAAATATTGAGATCATTGTGCGAGCTTACTTGTGGCAGCGTAAGGGTCTATAGCGGATAGAACAAATCGCTCAAAACCAGGAGCAGTATTCGTCAAGAGTGTCCTATTTCGCCACTCTTATTCATTTTAGTCGTAGACAAAATATTGGCGCACGCACTATATGGTATTCAAAATGTTGGTGCCGAATGGGAGAAAATCTGTACAATATAGAGTACAATGACGATATCATTTGTGCATTTGAGTGTATGGAGAATGCTCAAAGCGCTCTTGACAAACTTTCAATTAGTATGCGCTGTGCACCTTCAAAGTGCAAAGTGATGCTACAAGAGTGGGTGTCGTCTACCCCGACTATGACACCTGATAGTCAAGAACTGAAGTGGGCTGCTTCTCCAACTTGGGTAGTTGCGTGACAAACTACAGTAACGTGGTCAAGGAATTAACCGCCTGCATTACCAAGGCACGTGCAGCGTATGCAGCATTGGAACACGTTTGGTGCCGATGTGATGTTTACTTGAAGCCCAAAATTCCCACCACTGTGTTGTTGGTTCTGTTTTACGGTTCTGACACTCAGCTTTCGTCCAGAAGTATTCGGCTGTCGATGTAAGCGTAATTTGGCGAGGGCTGGACGAAGCAAGCCTGTGAGATACTATGAGGTAGGCCGTCGAGTATTTGCTAATGATTCAGTGAAGAATTCATTATCACTTCGAATTCAGATCAGAAGCTTCGCTGGTTAAGATATGTATTATGCGTGTTAAGCTGTTGTCTACTGCACGGCATTGGTTGCAGTCAAGCTCACAAAGCATAAAAAAGCCAGTATATTTGGGGTATTAGGAGAGGAGAGGAAGAAAACCTCTAATTGTCGTTAACGGTGGCTCTAGTATGTACATTGAATCCCGTGTTTAAAAGGTCCCACGGAGCTCATAATGGGGATACAAATTGGCAAACAAGCTCGTTTTCAGTTTTCAGATTAAGACACTGAAAACGAGCTTGTTTGCCAATTTGTGTTCACGTTGAATCTCCTTGTAACCTTAGTTTACCTGAATTTTCTATTCCAATATTCCTATACTCCTTCGTTTAAAATGGGTAGCCAAAAATGGGAAACAAACCCATCCCACGAAAGTACATGGTTAATGTTTGTTCAAACTGAACTAAACAAAACCACGGAGGTCAACAGAGTGCATAGTCTAACAATGCATAAATGTCTTTTCTAGTATTCTGGTCTGATAAGAAGTGAGAACAAAAATGTCACTGCTGTCGTTTTGCTACCACATCGTTCACTCTCCGAGCAACATGTTACAAAGCTTTTGAACCCNTATCTCACTACACCTATCTGCAGGCCTCGTTTTCAAGTTCTCTGTTGACCTTCATGTGATTTTCTCCAACCTCGCGCGGCAAATGCAAATAGGATAATGAATTAGAAGGCTGCTGAACATGCGCAACACGTATGCTAACCAGGGATGTCTACAAATCCTGATTCGGCGTGATAAGGAATTTCCCACTGAATCGTTACCAAATACATAGTGCTTTACCTCAGAGCTGCTGACCTGCTCACCCCATTCCTGCTTGTACTAAATAAAGTACGTAAACAATCGAAATTCGACGAATCGCAGATGATGAAAGTTTTCCACGTGCAAACTTGCGGTCTCACAATCGTAAACTAAATCACAACGGTGCAATATAAACGACCTTTCAATTTAGAGGGAACATCACGCCGGCACCAATCCTGCCTATGCCGTTCTAACCTTGGAAATACGGTCAGTTAACTTGCTTCCGCCATTTGTAACGCAATTACCTACGTTGGAGTCCGAAGATTATTGTTACGGTAATCGCTATGAACCAAATAACACTGAA